AAGAGTCAGATACTTAACTGACTGAGCCACCCAGGCGCCCCTGAGCTTGGTTACTTTTATATTATAAGTTGTCCCAGTGGGTCCTTCCTTATATTCCTTGCTTTGAAGTCCTGAATTTGTACCTTGTTTCTAAACTGCTGAATTCCATGTTTTCCTGACTGTTCTAGCTTTCTCTGCAATGCACAGGAAATATCTGTATGTTTGGCCAGCTCTCCCCTGCCTCCCTTCTCCACACTTATTTTTAAAGTGTATATTCAGCATTTATGAGCCTTTGATGGTCTTCCCTCTTAGCTCCCTTAAACACACTTGAATTCACACTTTTTTAAAGAAGTTAAAACAGTTTCATTTTCAATCAGCTGACTTCGAAAGACCATATCTATATTTAACTTTGTCATATATCCCTAAAAATCTCAACTTTTTTTGCGTCTACACTTTGATAGTGTTATTTTTATAAATGCATGCCAAGTTTGTGAATTGGGTTTTTTCCATCTGAACTTATTTTTCAAATATAGCAGTCAGTGAATTGGGGGTGGGGGAAGGATTGCCAGAACCTGAAGGGCTAGAAAGTAGAGTCAGGGACATTAGTTGAAAACAATCAGAATAAAAATTCTTTCATTTCTATAACATTCTACCGATTCTCTTTTCAACATCTACTGTTGTTCTAGGCCCTGGTGATACAGCAGTGAACAAAAGAGACAAAATCCTTACCCTCACGAAGTTCAAGCCCTAGTGGAAGGAGACAGATAATAAACAAAATTAAGGACAATAAAGCAGAGACAGAGTGTAGGGAGTGTTCGTGAGTTTAGAAAAAGGTGGCCTTTAGGGCACCTGCGTGGCACAGTCGGTTGAGAGTCCGACTCTTGGTTTTGGCTTAGGTGGTGATCTCAGGATCCATGATGATGAGCCCCACGTCGAGCTCTGTGCTCAGTGCGGAGTCTGCTTCAGAGTCTCTCTCCCTCTCTCTCTGTCCCTCCCATTCATGTGCTCTTTCTCTCTCAAATAAGTAAATAAATCTTAAAAAAGAAAAAAAGAAAAGGTGGCCTTTGGGCAGTGTTGGGAGGGGGGGATGATGGGCTATGCTGACATCGGGGAGGAGAGTCCCAGGAACAGGAAACAAATGGCAGGTACACAGGCTCTTCAGGGAGCATCCCTGAAGAGAATGAGAGAGGGCTAGGAGGAACTGGCTGGAGCAGCAGGTGATGGGGTCAGAAAAATCAGGGGAGGTGGCAGCACACCCTTCCGAGCCTTGTGGGATATTATAGGGACTGTGGCTTTTACGTGATGAAATGGGAAGCCAGATGAGGATTTCAAACAAAGGAACAACAGGATTTGACTTAACAAGACCACTCTGGCTGCTGGGCTGAGAAGGGAAACAGGCAGATGTGGAAGAGGAAGGAACCATTAGGAGGACATTGCTGTCACCCCTACCAGAAATTAATCAGAAACATCTGACCTGTTTACGAAAAGGGAAGAAAATGTGCTTGCAGAATTAAAAAAAGAAAAGGAAAATAGCAATTGTATTTTGGATGTTTAAGTTGCAACAAAAAGACCAATTTGGCAGTTACTTTCCTATAGTGACTTCTCCTGTACACAGCGGTTTGGGAATCCTGGGGAGTTGGGTTTTCAGGGCTTTTTTCTCCTGGATTTTAAGTTTTCTTTTTCTTTTTTTTTCTAAGATTTTATTTATTTATTTGACAGAGAGAGAGAGATCACAAGTAGGCAGAGAGGCAGGCAGAGAGGGAGGAGGATGCAGGCTCCCCGCCAAGCAGAGAGCCCGATGCGGGCCTCGATCCCAGGACCCTGGGATCATGACCTGAGCCAAAGGCAGAGGCTTTAACCCACTGAGCCACCCAGGCGCCCTCTTTTTATTTTTTTATTAGGTAATCTCTATGCCCAACGTGGGACTTGAACTCAAAACCCCAAGATCAAGCATGGGACTCTATCAACGGAGCCAGCCAGGCACCCTCAGGATCTTTTTCTCCTGAGTAACCCGTGGACCTAGCAGGGTTTGGTCAGTGTGATTAGGAAGCTTTGGGTGGGTCAGTTGGTTGAGTGTTGGAAGCCTGACATTGGCTCAGGTCCTGATCTCAGAGCTGTGACATCAAGCCCAGCATGGGGCTCTGCTCAGCGCAGAGTCTCCTTGTTCCTCTCTCTCTGCTCCTCCCCCTACTCTCTCTCTTATGAATGAATGAATGAATAAAATCTTTTAAAAAAGAAGAAGAACGCTTTATGGTTCTTTTAGGATGTCTGCCCCCTGCCATTTCCCAAACTTGCCTGGCTGCCTGTTAGAGATAGAGATTCCTGGGTCATGCTCCTTCAGTAAACATGGAATGGGGCCCAGGGATATACACTTTCAGCAAGAATATGCGAGCTATCTTCTTTTAAAATTATTTTATTTATTACTTTTTTTTTTTTTTTTTTTTTTTTTACAGAAAGAGAGTGAGAGTACAAACGAGGGGGGAGAGGCAGAGGGAGAGGGAGAGAACAAAGCTCAAGCAGACTCCATGCCCAGCACGGAGCCCAGCTTGGGGATCCATCTCATGACCCTGAGATTATGACCTGAGCCAAAATCAAGAGTTGGTTGCTTAGCCAACTGAGCCACTCAAGTGCCCCTTCTTTTGTAATTATTGGGATAAAATTGGTATATAACATTATATAAGTTTCAGGTGTACAGTGTTAAATTTCGTATTTATAGAGTGTACAAAGTGAGCACACCATAAATGTAGTTACCATCAGCACCATTCAGGTGAGCACTTTGACCCATTTTGCCTGATTCTAACCCCTCCTGCCTCTGATAACCATCAGTCTGTTCTCTGTATGAGTTTGTTTTTGTTTTGTTTGTTCATTTTGTTGTTTGGATTCCACATATAAGTGAAATTGTACTGTGTCGTTCTTTGTCCTGTGACTTATTTCACTTAGTATAATGCCCTCAACATCTATGTTATCACAAATGGCAAGATTTCCTTCTTCTTTTTTTTTTAATGACCGAGTACTACAATCCATTGTATTTCCATATCTTGGCTATTGTAAATAACACTTTTATGAATATAGGGGTGCATATATCTTTTCAAATTAGTGTTTTTGTATTCTTTGGCTAAATACCCAGAGGAGGGATAGTTGGGTCATATGGTAATTTTACTTTTTTTTTTTTTGAGGAATCTTCATACTGTTTTCCATTGTGTCTGCACCAAGTTGATTCCCACTAACAGTATAAGAGGGTTCTTGCCTCCACATCCTCTCTGACACTTGTTATTTCTTGTCTTTTTGGTAATAGTCATTGTAACAGATGTGAAGCGATATCTCATTGTGGATTTGATTTGCATTTCTCTGATGATTAGTGATGTCGAACATCTTTTCATGTGTCTGTTGGCCATGTGTATGCCTTCTTCAGAAAAAAAATGTCTATTCAGATCATTTGCCCATTTTTAAAATTGGGTTGTTTTTTGGTTGTTGTTGAGTTATGTGAGTTCTTTATATGTTTTGGATACTAAAGCCTTATCAGATATGTGATTTGCAAATATCTTCTTTCATTGAGTAGGTTGCCTTTTTGTTTTGTTGGTTTCCTTCACGGTGCCAAAGCCTTTTAGTTTGTTATAGTCCCATGTATTTATTTTTGCTTCTGTTTACTTTGCCTTTGGAGCCAGATCCAGAATTTTTTAAAAAATCAGTAAAACCAATGTCAAAGAGCTTGCCACCTTTTCTTCTCAGAGTTCCATGGTTTCAGAGCTTACATATGTCTTTAACCCATTTTGAATTAATTTTTATGTATTGTGAGATAGAGGCTTAGTTTCATTCATTCATATGTAGCTGTCCCGTTTTCCCAACACCACCCATTGAAGAGACTGTTCTTTCCCCATTGTATACTCCTGACTCCTTTGTCCTAAATTCAATTAACCATGTATGCGTGGGTTTATTTCTGGGCTCGCTATTCCATCCCATTGACCTATGTGCTTCTTCATGTCAACACCATATTGTTTTGATTACGATAGCTTTGTGGTATAGTAAGGGGATTCTTGACTTGTAAGGTGGGGAAACTGCTTCAGGGTAACCTCTTCACCTCTGGCACAGCTTTTGGGGTTTGCAGACCTGAAAAGCATTGCAGGGTGTCCAAGTGGCCGGCAGGTGGCGCCACGTGACCACAAGCTGCAGAGTGAGCGCATCCCATAGGGAGAAATGAGAGGCTCCAGAAGAAGCCGGTCGATAGGTGCCGGGGCCACCGAGCCGCCACTTATCCCGGGCAGAGCAGCGCGGACAAGTAGAGGTGGGAGGCGCAGCCGGTATCCCGGCTTTTCAGGCAAATGTGCATCTTAGGACCTCCCTGGTCGGCGTTTCGGACTCCTGGGGCAGCCCTCTCCGCACGAACATTGAGCACTGCGGGAGCCGGCAATGCGGTGCAGGGAAAACGGACCGCCTAGCGCCCCAGGACTTGAGCCCCACACTGTCTACCCAGGTGCTGGATTCTACTACCGAGGCCCCTCAGGGAGCGCCAGACCCACAGACGGCCCCTTTTCATTGGTAGCTGGACTCGAGGCCCCGCCCACTTTCGTAGGGTTCTCATCTGTGACTGGCTCTCGGGCCCCAGCTGGCCACACCTCCTCCCCTCGCACATACACAAGAGTCACGCGCCTTTCACTTGGAAACTCGGCGTGCTGAGGGGGACGGTGGCCTTCATCGCCCCACCCACCTACCTTGTTATTGGTCTGCGGCTCCACTCATGACCACGCCCCCATTCCAGCCCCCTGGCTGGGAGGGCGGGCACCCGCGCGTGATTGGCTGGTCCGCCTGCCTCTCGCTGGAGCGGCTGGCTCTTCCCCCTCCCTTTGCCCCCTCCCGCGAGTCTCCAGGTTCCTCAGCTACCAGAGGCCGAGTCAGTGTCAGTCAGGAAGCCAGACTGCTGAACAGTGTGTGCGGACGCTCCGCTGCAATCTCGCCCAGGGGCCGGTGCCTGCGCTCGCGCCGCCGGGTGGGAAGGATGAAGCCGCAGCTGGAGCAGCCACCCTATGATTGGCTGTGGCGCTTGTGAACCCGAAGTAAAGATGGCGGGCGGGCAGGCAGCCGCCGCACTGCCCACTTGGAAGATGGCGGCGCGCCGCAGCCTCAGCGCCCGCGGCCGGGGGTTCCTGCAGGCAGCGGCGGGGCGGCTGCTGCCGCTGCTACTGCTGAGCTGCTGCTGCGGCGCGGGCGGCTGCGCAGCAGCGGGCGAGAACGAGGAGACGGTGATCATCGGGTTGCGGCTGGAGGACACGAACGACGTGTCGTTCATGGAAGGGGGGGCGCTGCGGGTGAGCGAGCGGACCCGGGTCAAGCTGCGGGTGTACGGGCAGAACATCAACAACGAGACGTGGTCCCGCATCGCCTTCACGGAGCATGAGCGGCGGCGCCACAGCCCGGGCGAGCGCGGGCTCGGGGGCCCCGCGCCGCCAGAGCCGGACAGCGGCCCCCAGCGCTGCGGCATCCGCACCTCAGATATCATCATCTTGCCCCACATCATTCTCAACCGCCGTACATCGGGCATCATTGAGATCGAGATCAAACCGCTGCGCAAGATGGAGAAGAGCAAGTCCTATTACCTGTGCACATCGCTCTCCACGCCAGCCCTGGGCGCCGGTGGCCCGGGGTCCGCTGGGGGCGCCGTCGGGGGCAAGGGCGGCTCCGGGGTGGCCGGGCTCCCGCCGCCCCCGTGGGCCGAGACCACCTGGATTTATCACGACGGCGAGGACACCAAGATGATTGTGGGCGAGGAGAAGAAGTTCCTGCTGCCCTTCTGGCTGCAGGTGATCTTCATTTCGCTGCTGCTGTGCCTGTCGGGCATGTTCAGCGGCCTCAATCTGGGGTTGATGGCCCTGGACCCGATGGAGCTGCGCATCGTGCAGAACTGCGGCACGGAGAAGGAGAAGAATTACGCCAAGCGCATCGAGCCTGTGCGCAGGCAGGGCAACTACCTGCTGTGCTCGCTGCTGCTGGGCAACGTGCTGGTCAACACCACGCTCACCATCCTGCTCGACGACATCGCCGGCTCAGGCCTCGTGGCGGTGGTGGTCTCCACCATCGGCATCGTCATCTTCGGGGAAATCGTGCCCCAGGCCATCTGCTCCCGGCACGGCCTGGCTGTAGGGGCCAACACCATCTTCCTCACCAAGTTTTTCATGATGATGACCTTCCCCGCTTCTTACCCGGTTAGCAAGCTGCTGGACTGCGTCCTGGGCCAGGAGATAGGCACTGTCTATAATCGGGAAAAACTGCTGGAGATGCTCCGGGTCACCGACCCCTACAACGACCTCGTTAAGGAGGAGCTGAACATAATCCAAGGGGCGCTGGAGCTCCGCACCAAGACAGTGGAGGACGTGATGACTCCGCTCCGGGACTGCTTCATGATCACCGGCGAAGCCATTCTGGACTTCAACACCATGTCGGAGATCATGGAGAGCGGCTACACCCGTATTCCAGTATTTGAGGGGGAGCGCTCCAACATCGTGGACCTCCTCTTCGTCAAAGACTTGGCCTTCGTGGATCCAGATGACTGTACTCCCCTGAAAACCATCACTAAATTTTATAATCACCCCTTGCACTTTGTTTTCAATGACACCAAGTTGGACGCTATGCTGGAAGAATTTAAGAAAGGTGGGAAATTTTCGTATCTTTCATTGGCTTGCTCTTTCTCTCTCCGTCCTCCCCCCTCTTTGAGCCCTCTACCCTCAGACCAACCCCCCAAGGCGAGTTGACCGGAATTTCTCCTCTGTCTTAATTGCGAAGTTCAAAGGGTGGCATGGATTTGGGGATGGATTGAACTAGTAAGCGCTTCTAGGTTTTTTAAAAGCATAAGGCTAACGCCACTGGCATTTTCGCATTTCAGGAAGCAGGCGTTCTATTTTCTGTGCATGATACTGCCGGCGCTCTCGTGTTGAGGGGTCTGCCGCGTTCATTGCCCCACTCAGTGGGTGGGTGCAAATAGGGGCTAATGCCAGGCTCTGACATTTGGCTGAGATATACTCAACTCAGGCGTTTGGAAAACATTTAAATCGTTTTTCTAAACCCAATACGATCCTTTCCCTCCTCCTTTAATATTCACTGACATTTCAGAGATTGGAAGTGCATTTTCAGTAGCTCTGTTGCTGGTTGTCAGGCCACCTGTGGGGCAGATTGAGGTCTGCCTTTGAGGATAGTGGATGGGTTAAGACAAATACCACCAAAAAGATTCACTCATTAGGGTGTGACTTGCCTTAGCTAGAAAAGAGGTGTTTTTGTGTGTGTGTGTGTTTTAAAGTAAATTATTAATGTATGACTTGGAAAGCCTAGAAGTGAGTTAACCTTTTGTGAGGCTATCTTGTCTAGCTTTCTTCACCATTTGCTTATATTTACTTGACAAAATTTACCAAACCAAGTGTGGTTTTGGCAGAAATCCTGCACATTTAACAGTGGGATGACGCCCTCTATTGTGGTTTATTTCTTTCTCGAGTTTTTCTGGTTAATAAGTGTTCTTTTTGACCTTGATCACTTGATATATTAAGTTGAAGCCTGTCTTCAAGTCAGTGCTCACTGTTCCGGGGAATTTTAAAAGGGGAGAGTCCTGCAGAGTCTGATTTGCTCACCTGTCTTGCATGGTGGTATTTTTTGTTTGTTTCACCATGTAATGAACAGGCGAATAACAACTCATGCTATTACTACTGAAATTCTGTCTTTGAAAAAAGTTTCTAGTAAACAGTTAGTGTTGCCATTTGAAAGCCAGGGACCTCTGAGCTGTTTAATTGCTATGGTATCAGTGCAGGTATTAAAATGTGTGTGTAACCTTTAATGACTTGATTGTCCTCAAAACAAAGTTTTCCTTCTTCAGATAGAATTTTGAGCACTCAGAGTGGTCTCTCCACCGAAAAAAGCTGTGTGTAAGCAGTGACAGCTCATGGACGTAGTGATCTGAACATCCCCATAGAGCGTGTGGTTGCCCTAATTCCATTCTCCTGGCTGAATGGTGTCCGCTCTGGAACAGGATCCCATTGCAGTAATTTTCAGATAAAGGAATAGAGCAGAATGTGCTTCAGTGATTGGTAATTTGCATTTAAAAGCAGAAGGAGATTCTTCTGGATTCTTAAACAGTAAAAAGAAAATGTCCATTATCTAGTGAGAGAGCTTCATCTGGGGTGTCATTATCCTTTCACTGCTAAGCTGTTAGAGCATCTGACCAATCTCTTCTTTCATTTTGCAATAATATCTCTAGTACAGGAAGATACCTTGCAGTGCCTGAAAAATGCCTCTGAAATACTTACTTTCTGTTGCTAGGTTTTGCAACATTGAGACAGATAATTTATTCCATGATTTTTTTTAATCAGAATGTTTGCCTATCTCCTGGTGGATTGAAACACTAGTGTGTCCTCCCTGCTGGATGAAGCCTTTTCTTCACTTCCATATCTTTTTTCTCCATGAATTTAGCTCTTCACCTTACAGCTCGTGACTCTTGCCCCTACCTCAGAATTTCAAAATCTGCAGCATTTTGAAACTTGTTTTTGGTTGTCCTTGAACAATATTCCTATGTATTTTCTGTGGTTTATTTTTCAGGAGCAACTTTTTCTCCCCAATGTTACCTCTCACAGTAGATAACTAAGTTACTAATATTTTCCCATGAATTTTTGAAAAATAATAATACACAGGACTTTATTTTTGTCCTTAACCAAAGTGATATGTTTGGTTAAGGAGGTAGTACAAGTTAAAGATACACTCAAGTTAGTGGCATGTTTGGAAGAGCAGGTAAGGAAGGACAGCTGGTTACAAATGAGAAATGTCAGCCATGATCTTAAAAGGATGAGTGGGTGTTTGTTACTTACACTGTAAGAACCATTGATTTTTCACCTTCCCTTTCTTGATCTTTTTTTGATGAGTTTGGCCACTTTAACCTTACGAACAGCTGTGTTAGTTCTTTCTTCCCTGTGAGTTATAATATTTCACCAGATATTGTTTTCTTTATTTTCTAATTCAATTTGAAATACTGTGAACAGTCAACCTTTATTGTTTTTTCTCTATTGAATAATGGTGTGTGGGATGGTGTGAAGGCTTTTTCTTCCTCTGTTTCCTTCCTTCTCCTAATAATACCACCTTAACTCCCTTAAACTGTTAGATCATTAATCCAGATCTCATTGAAAATTGCCCTTCCCAACTAAGAATGCCTGCCTTGAAGTCCACTGTATAGAGCTGTACATCATTAGCATGAGTTTTGCTTTACCACCGAGGGGAAAGGTTCGTGATGTGGAAAGACATGAAAAGCTACCTTTCTATAAGCATATGTGAACGTCTTCTTTCTACTGATTAGAACTTTTAGCTTGGCTACTTGGAAACTCAGCTTGCCTTGAGGTTGGAAGAAGTCATCATACTCATTTTACAGTTAGCTTATTGGCTATTGACTGTGTCAGGCACAGGGCTGAATGCTTTACACGAATCACCTTGTTTCAGTCTCCTAGTAGCCAAGCGAAGCCTTTTCTCCATTTTACAAATGAGGAAATTGAGGCTCAGGTTACATGATTTGTTCAAGGTCACACAGTAATTTGTTGATTTGGGGTTTTAACTCAGGTCCGTGTGACAACTCATCTGGAGCTCTTTACCACTCTAGGCTTCACCATTGCACTGGTCCCCTGGATTCTGATCTTATATTTCTGGTTTGAGTGAGTGTGAAGTTTGGTCCTTTGTCAAAACATTGCTTCAGAGCTTGTTGGGCAACACTCACAGAAATGTATTTAAACATATAGATGGCTTTCAACCCAGTGCTTCTGTGATATTGTACGTAACAGTTGGTTTCCCCACTTTTGCCATTGAAACAAATCAGTTTTTTGACCTGGGTGATCCTGAATCTGAAGAATTCTGTTTCCATGCCAAGCATCAAGTTTCATTTTGAAAATGTTTTATGCTAACATTATAATGTACTAGTGTGCTGCTTTACTGATATACTCTACAGCTCTTTTTCTAATAGCTGAAGCATGCAATAATGTTTCTCTTTTTTTTTATCTGCCCTGTTGCAAGGAGGACTCAAATTCAGTTTTGCATTTTAATTTTGATTTTATTTGCATTTTTGTTGTCACCTATATAGTAATTGATTGCTAATGAGTATCCTTGACAGCTCTGCTGCTCTGTGTTCCATGCAGTTTTTCTCTTTTTCTTTTGTTACTTTTGCAGTTACTAATAACTCTAAATAAGAGAATAAAAGTAAACCCCAGTAGAAGACTATGAGAATTCTAGAAAAATCGTCCTGAAGCGAAATTGTGGAGCGGAGGGGAAAACCACATGGAAGGTTGCTGCCTTTGTATGCAGAAAGGAAACCAGAGGTTCTCCATTGACCTGACAAACCCTTCTTTGTAAAACATTGTGGACTCTTGGCCACTAGGGTTGAATTTGAAGAATTAGTAATCAGTTATCGTTGTTTTGTTTTGCTTTTTTTTCTTTTCACTTTGTAACAATTGCCTTCCAGTACTGCAGAACATGCGGTTTTATAGCTACTAGGGACTTAGCCAGGCTATATTCTAGCTTTTCCTTAACTAGGAACAGGTAGGATCACCAGATAATGGTCCTTAAGGGAAGAGTGCGATGTGTACTTTTCACTTAAAACATTAGGTGTACAATTCTCTCTTCCTCTAACACAAGTCTTTCCATATCAGTGTGCTGAGAGTTTAATGTTGAAACTTTTTTTCCTCACCAAATAAAGTGTTCCACTTGCCTAGAATCTAGAAGGATGTTTTTCTTGGTGTTTAAAGGCATGAATGATGGCAGGGATGGATGGGTGGATGTATTGGCTTCCGTGATCTTGTATCTCTAGTTACTTTGTACAGTAACGATGTTAAACTCTTATAATTTTGTATGTTTTTAGGTCATCACTATGAACTACCCAGCTAGTGTAGAATCAGAGGTGGAAGCAGGCAGGCTGAGGATCATTTCCTCCAGTGTTTGCAAAACTTACCAGATGATGAGAACCACTTGGATCACTTATTAAGAATAAGGTCCTAGGCCTCAAGCAGGGGTGTCCTGAAACAATCTAGGGAAGGAGTCTTGGGACACATATTGTTAACAGTTACCCTACAGTCAGGTGAGTTTAGAAAATGCTGGTCTAGTCAACTTTGTAAATAAGGAAAGTAAACCCTGAGAAAGAGAGAAAGTTAAGTGATCGCTTAAGAACTACCCACCTGGTATACCATCAACGAGACTAGAATCCATGTCCCTGTTCTAGATTGGAGTTCTTTCCACTCCATCAAGCGGGTCTTCTGGTTCCAAGTTAAAGGCACTCTGGCCAGAGTTAAAGGTATCTTTGTCATTGAAAAAGCAATATTCAGGTTTGCCATTGGTTTTGGCCCTGCAATTTTGATGCCAATATTTTTGACATCCCAGATTCAAGCCATAGTTGATAGGCGTTTTGTTACACAGAAAATAAATCTGAACGTGTGAGCTCATTTTATTTTAGCTTAATGCATTTTTTATTTTGCTGAAGTCAGACTAGCAAGGTATTTTAGGAAATGGATCTTGAGATAGCTTGAAGCCTTAGTAGTTAAATATTAGACATTTCATTTGAGTTAACGTGTTTTGGGTATCCATGAATGATGTGTTTTCTTTTTGATTGCGTCTTCTATGAGAGTAATTAAGATCAGATTTGG